GAGAGAGAGAGAGAGAGAGAGAGAGAGAGAGAGAGAGAGAGAGAGAGAGAGAGAGAGAGGCTTTCTTACGGCAGGCAGTGCTCGGGTTCCGTGGGTATCTTGCCGCTCCCCTTTTAGTTTGCCTTTCCCTGACCGGTCGGTCTAGCTGACTTGATTGCACTGCGGATTTGCTGGAGGGTTGGGGTGTTGGCTCTCGGCACTTGAAATCACATGACCAATCCTATTTAACCAAGCCCACGTTTGGATTCTGTTTTTCCGCTTGCTGGTAATGTTGATAGCGATAAAATTCAGTGTCTTAGCAGAGGAAAAAGAGCTTTATCGCCTGCCGTTACGGTCAGTATAACATACGTTAATTTGGAGGGGGGCTCGGAGATTACTGGAGTTCGGATGATGTAGCACTGCAGCGTGTAATGTTGACTGGCCTCCTTCTCCCTCTCCCTCTCCTGAGAGGAGGATAACTTACCAAATACTACGCTTCCGGTTTCCGCGTAAACGATGGCTTGTATGCAAATCGTATTCGAATCTTTGGATGGATCGTTAATGTTGGTAGAATGGGGTGGATCATTAGTGGCAGCAGTGTGCATGTTTGTGGTTGATATGATGGAGATGTGCTTAGCTCGTAAGGCGAAGAAGAGTATATGGTTTGATGGAGCATGGAGTGGACGATTGAATTGCGAAGGGACACTGATTAGTATAGTTTTGTCCGAATGAATTCACTTAACCTTCTGGCGAGTGGGTGAAATCCGAGCCGTCATAGTGTAGCCCCTTTCCCCTCACGGCCCTCCCCTTCACGTAGTGACCGGTTGAATGGTGAAGGGACACTGATTAATATGCTGTGTCCGAATGTGTTTACGTGACTTCCTGGCGACTGGGTGAGATCCGAGCGTTCATAGTGCAACCCCCCTCCCACTCTCCGCCCTTCCTCATTACCATACTCATATTATCTGTTTGCCATCGCATCTTCTCCTCCTGCCCACCCTAGTATACCAGTGGAACACAATCTGGGTTTCACAAGGGACCCTTCGGTTCTTGATGGCCTTGTCGCCCTCAGCCCCTGTGGTATCTTCAGTCCCTGGAAGCCCCCTTCCTTCGTTGGGGATTTGGGCGCTATTTCCTTCAATCCGCCCCTCCCCCACCATCTTCTCCTACTAACGCTAAGTATATCAGCGGGGGATTTGGGCGCTATTTCCTTCAATCCGCCCCTCCCCCACCATCTTCTCCTACTAACGCTAAGTATATCAGCGGAACACAGTCCGATTTTCCCCAGGGCTCCCCTTGTTTCTTGATGCCCCTGTCGCTCTCAGCTCCCGTGGTGTCTTCAGTTCCTTCGAGCCCCATTCCTCCGTTGGGAATTTCAACCCTGTTCCCTTCATCTGCCCCTCCCCGCTTCTCCAACTATCACTTCCTTCACTTTTGTTCGCTGTTGTTCTTATGCATCTGCTGCCTTTTTCTCCTATTGTTGCGCTACCCCTTTCCTCTGCATATCTTCGCAGTATCCTTACCTCTCTTCTTCTCCATCCTGTCCTCCTCTACGCTCTCCTCCGTCTCTCTGGCCTCACTTAACTTTTTGCGTCAACGTATGCCCCCACCACTTT